CTCACTCACTCACTCACTCACCCATTGACCCGTCCATAACATACCCGACGTGCCGACTAAGAGGTATTTTTTTTACAAAAAAATAACTCAAAAATAAATCGAAAACCATTCAGTGGATAAAGTCAAGAAAATGTGATCTTATAGGAAATAAATGACGAAGGCACTTCTCCAAGTTTTAGGTCTGTGCGTTTTCCCAAACTGCAGATATTTGTGGAAATGTTTCGCTGAAATTTACAGAGCCCAGTATACTCAGTATGGAAACGCCATGTTCGTGCACCTCTATGGTGAACCAATGTGGCGGCCGGAAAATAGTGTAAACATCTGGAACTTACTTTGGTTATCTAGGCGACTGATTATCCGCACTGAAGAAACAATTATTTACATAAGTACTGTTTCTAATGCTCCAACTTCTAAAAAAGCTAAAATCATGAGATAAGCATATATTTTTCGACAAATGCGATCGTAGCTTTGTGTCACGCACCGCCATAACTCTGAAATTCAAAATATGCTGGTTGCCAAACGAAGCACACTATTGAGCTGTAAAATTGTAAACAGATACAAATTTACCCCCTCTTATGCCTGATGAGGATAAAAACTTTGCTGGCGCTTTCGTTTTCGATTTTAGAAAATGTCGACGTAACGTGGAAACGATCTATAAGCAGATGTAAGCTCCGCCCGGGGCTCCGCTCACGATTTGCATTTTGATTAAAATCAACTGCTCAGTTCCGGGAGAATGGCTGCCATCTATGACCTCCTTTTCAGACTTAATTCCCTTGTTACAAACGGGTCTGTTGTTAAAATCTCGAAAAATCTCTCAGAAAACTATAATCAAATACACGTTTTTCAGCCGAGTTTCTTTTATATTTTGTAGTGGCCCCTCCTGAGGATATTTTCTGTTGTACTTTATGTGACATGAGTTTTTGGTCTCACTTAGGGTATTTAGCGGGAAACGCTGTTATTTTCTGCCATTTACTACGTCTTTCAATAACATGCGGACTCTAAAATTCAAAGCTCAACCGACAGTGCGTTTTTCGCTACCGTCAATCAAATATTCGGCGGCTCCTCCAAGCTTCCGACTACTGCCGAGCACTGTGTCGTTGTCTGAACTGTGCTCAACGATTTGATTACCGCGCGCTTGGCAGTAGTCGGAAGCTGGGAGGAGCCGCCGAACATTTGATAGACGGTAGCGAAAAACGTGTTATTACATGTTATTGAAAAGCGCAGTAAATATCATTTGAGCTAGGGTACACTCGAAGAAATAGTAATTATTAAGGCTGTCATTTCCGTTTGGTATAACAAAGCTAAAGCCACGCCCAGCGCCCAGGTTTGGTCACCTTTAGGGGCTAGGGGTTTAATTCAAGTCCTCCGGCGAGCGTCCCCGACCTTTTCATATGGGAATACCACCCCCGCCCCCAGTCTTAAAGGCAATTATGCAATAGACTCTCGCTTTACGAAGTTGTGAGTAACAGTAGATTTATTTTCCAAGGATTGAAATAAAATTTCCAACCTTGCAATCCTCCCTTCCTATCACGACATTCAAGCAACTGATTGACGGAAGATTCCCAAGGCTTGAAAGAAAGCTAAAGAATCCCGGGCCTGAGAACGTGCCCACTTCTTTGATTCCTCTTTTTTTGCTTTCTTGCTTCGAAACGCTTTTACAGTTTTTGCGTTTATGAATCGAGGACAGTTGATAGCACGAGCCATTCATTAAGTCTTGATCAATGGCCAAATACTTCATCCTTATTTGGTGAAATACATTCCAAGTTGTGTTTGACACTGATTATACAAAGACGTTTCGACCGAACAACTTCGGTCATCCTCAGTTTAAAAAGCCAACTGGAATTACTGGCTATCTAACACCGTTCACAGTTCTGAGCGTGCTACGCCAGCGAAGAGTAACGAGCGAATGCTGCGCGACATAACCAGAGCGCATATATGGCCTTTTTCCGCCCTGACATAACAAATCACGCGAGTGACTTGTAAATACTCGGAATGTGATTTGAAAGTGATTTGTTGTTATGAAAACGGCATAACGGGTGTCATTTTGTTTCTTTTATGATATAAATTTCTGGTGGCAAGTTTGAAGAACACCCCTCTAATATTTCTAGAGATATTCCTGATTCAGTGTTAGCTAGCATTTTACTGTTAACGTTTTAGTGGAACAATTTATGACGTCATCAATTTCCTCATTTGCATAATACAAAAACGTAAATATATCTAAACAAAAGAAGATATTCCAAAAAGGAAAACGACTTTCTTCTTTATTTTGAAAAGCCTTTCAAATAAGTAGCAATTATTTTTACTTCATGGGCACTCCAATGTCTTTCTTTTACTAACTCGAGGTTTTCTTGCAATAACGTTAGCACGCTATGCCTGCCTATATTTTTCGTGTGTCTGACAAAGTCTCGGCCCAGTCTCCACCGAACTAGTGGAACATGTGCAAGTTGCTTTGAAGCGGGTTGACCTGTCATTCTGCTGAGTTTTAAGTGTTATTGTGTGATTTCTTGCAGAGATATCTCGTCAACTTGATTGTGTATGGGTCATTCAGGCCCATGTGGTATCAATGATTTCAAATTGACGTGTTTTACGGAGTAAATGGCGTAAAAAACCCGCCGTGATGTCCAGTAATACAAGTTGGAGAATTGACGACATGGATGGTGGACTTGATGGCGGTCTAGCCTCAGAGTTGTTGAATCTGTCTGGCTTAGGCAATGAATATGGAGCAGACGGTGCATATAACATGAGGTTCGTACAAAAACTTTGTCAATTAATGATACAGAAGGATTCTTGTTTTCTTGGAACTGTGAAAGGTACGGTTGCACCGTGAAAATGCGAGTTCGTGTTGATCATTTTCTGCAATTCCAAGCTTCAGCTAAATTTTGTTTAGCGCTGTTAATCTTTTCAGTTAAGGAATGCGGAGAACTTTTTGCATTCGAAAATAAAAGCCTCTTATTGGATTACGTTTGGAAGCATCTGCATAAAAGGCATAACTAATTTTGAACTTTGTTTATTTTATAGGGAAGATATCTGTTTACAAACATTGTTTTGTTGTTATTAAGTTAATGTCCAAGAAGCTAATTAAAACGAAAAAACCTCATGTTTGACTAGCCAATAGATTTCTGGTTGGCATGTCAATAACAGTAACTGACATCACTGATATTGTTGCTGTTATAAGGTCACAAAATTTAGGACATTCAAATCTTTTAGCTTTTATATTATCACATAGTATGTTATTTGTTTACCCAATCCATTTCCCAACATTCGCACTCTTCTATTTTAAATCGAATTAAATTATAAATAAATTTAAAATAAGATTAATGAATAATGTAAAGAAGTCTATCATTTAGCAAATTATAGTGAAGATTAAAAAAAAAATAAAAATATACTATTCACCATCATCGAATTTTGTAATCTGCCAGATTATCAACAGTATTTGTTTCACTTAAATGTATAAATTGTCAATGTTATGTGCCAAATGCACTATGCAGGATACTACTTTCAAGCCCTCTCCTGTTGCTGCCATGTTGATTGGTAGTATAATATAAGATGACAAGTGACATCATATTATGAGGAAGGAGGTCAGGGAGGGAGGGATGGGGAGGTGGGTTGACAACAAACATTTCCAGTGAAAGGTGCTCCATCCAACATGACTGTTTTAAGGTAGATTAATTATACTTAATTGTACCTTTCTAGTATGGTTTTCAGCCACTAAAGTGGCATATCTGGTGAGTTTGGCCAAGTCATTGTTCATATTTTGGCAAGACGTCAAACCAAAATACCGTGGATGGCAAAACAAAATTTGCCTAATATGATGCCGAAGTGTTCCAATAGTGTTATGATTAGGTATTTACTGTATCCAAATTCAGGCAAGTGACCATGATATCGTAGCCATATATCAGGTCAGTGATTTAATATTACAGGTCATAATCCATCAGTTACTTTTGTTTGTGCGTGATTGGTCTCAACATGCCACATGGCTGAATATGCCCCAGCTACAAATAGGGAATATCCGAGTGATATTCCCAATTTTCAAAACTTTGCATGTGCCATAAAATATTGGAAGGATGATAAACACAATAGCCTCCATTTGGCGCAAAAATATGCTTGGATATTCATCCTGCAATTGGACATTATCTGTTGCATAATTGAGCTATGCTCTCAGAAAACTCTTTTTTTCTCTGAACAGATCATGTCCAAAGACTTGTATAATCTCCAGACAAATTTTTGTGCCAAATGGAGGCTATTGTTTATATATCAGGAATATAGACAGAGCTTCTGATTGGTCAGTTGCAAATCTGGGTATGGTAACAACAAATAGAGGTTCACTAGTTAAATTAATACAAAGAACTTGAACTATACAATAGTTATGAGTGGTAAATAAAAGCCAATATTTATTGGTGGTTGACATTTTCTCTTTCTTGATCAAAGCAATGTGCTCAACTTGTCACTCTTCAAGGAGGAGCCACCAGGTGTTCACCAGAATATGGATACAATTGGTCCTGATCCATCGTCTGTTAGAGAGTAAGTACCTATAAAGGTAACGTTTGCATACGAGCCAAGTGGCCCATCAGGCCAGCTTACCCCAGTTTCTGTAACTTGAAGTGACTAGGAGTATTTCTTCTCCCCCCTGGATGGGTGCTAGTCCATCGCAGGATTACCCCCAGCATTAAGTTTACCGGTACCCATTTATACACCTGGGTGGAGAGAGGTACTGTGAGAGTAAAGTGTCTTGCCTAAGAATAGAACACAGTGTTCCCGGCCAGGGCTCGAACCTGGTCTGCTTGATCTGGAGACAAGTGCACTAACCATGAGGCCACCACGCCTCCCCAAGCAAGCACCAACAGGCCAATAAATGTATCTTATCCTATACACAAGGACTGTACTCAGAGCTCTGCCAAAACCTGTAGCACCTGTTGTGGCTGAGCATGTTTGATGTCCAGACGCTTGGTCGTATATGAGGACTGCCTCGTCATTGACGCAATTCCCACAGAGTAACAAGTTTATTATGGTTGTGAACGTTAAGGCTACATGTGAATCAAAACTTAATGACAGCCCTGGTACTGTAGAGTACTGGGAACAAAAGAATCACATATTAAAGAAAATTATTAATAATGAAAGTTTGTTTAAATGCAGTTAAATCCAACTTAACAGAGTTAACAACAAGGAACGTAAGTCTTGCCTTCAGCGACATTTAGATCTGCGCATGTGCCAGGATTCCACATGTTCTTAGACCCCAAGGGTGACTGCTTTTCTCCCTTCTGGGTGGGGTTCATGGCTTGTTTGCCAGGATGTGCCAGCCATGGGAGCAGTCTCCGTCTAGGAGCTGGCTGCCAATAGTGCAAGCTCCTGGATGTCTCAGGCATCCAACCTCCACTTTGTGAGGCAGTTGTTAAAAGTCTTTATCAGTTGTTGCCTTCTATTTCAGCCCTCTTATTAATCACATGCTTCTCAGAACCAGACCAGACTACATGACTGGGAATGAATTTTTGTTGGTTGCTTTTAATATGGGTAAACTAATAGAGGAAAGCCAATTGGTAATGCCACCTGTGGCCACTGAATAGATACGGCCACTTAAACGGGAGTTTATTTGCAGTATTACACTGTGTACTACACAGTGTTGCAGTATTACACAATATTGCACCGCTGTCTGATATGACTCTACATCTAGCTATTGCCAGGAATGCTTGAGCAGTTTTAACTGGAAGGTATTGTCATTCAAAATGATCCTGACCCTTTGCTTGGAAGGGGAATTTCACATGCATTATTTTTTAATTACAGCTATTAATGTGTGCAGTGATCTTATATATTTTGTTGCTTCATCTTAGAGTATCTACGGAGGTGACTTCTTTGGATTCTTCTTTGCAAACAAAACAGGAGACGTTAATGGCTTGTGGGATGTTGCCATCTCAACCATCACAAATGTCATCTTCCGGGAGTGTAGATGGGACGAGGTAGGCGGTGTTAAATTACAACAACTGCAGTCAAACTTGTGTCGAGTACAGTTTCACATCAGCAATAACAAAGAAAAAGCCATGATCATGAATCAGCTGTGTACATAATTATACATATAGTATACCATATATCTTGCAGCTAGACTTCAAGTTGACCTTCCATAATCATCGCTCTCAAGCGAAGCAAAAGGCAGATCTTTGAGCAATGAAGTTGCAAGATTATTTGGAAAGGACTTTTAGAAAGTCTACACCAAAAGTAATGGAATATCATAATAATTAATATTTAATCAATATTAATTATTAATTAAATTAACTGGTAGAAAAGTTGGTGTCTAGAGCAACAAAAATACCTTGCCTACAATTTAGTTTTTGCCATCTTTTGCAGCTTGAGTTATGGATTTATTCATATTTTGAAAGCTCCGACCTCCCCAACAAAGAAGCTTGAAGAAGACTCACTGACATATCTCAACCAAGGTATTGTTGTGGCCTCTTTGAAGGCAGGCACCCAATAGACTGAGCTAACTGAGCTGCACAATGTGCACTTTTAGCTACTAAAAACAGAGCTAATAATAATAATTAAGCTTTGATCAGTTGAAGGCCAACAACTCTGAATGGCATTTACCTTACAATTAACTAATGTCATCTTCAGGGCAGCCTTATTTGCTGGAGATGCTGTATCTTCCAGTGGAAGGAGCAAAGTTCGAGGGTCAATATATGAAGGTAAAGATATCACAATGATTATTGGCCAGACATTAATTTTCGAATGAATGAGAAATATCAGATTACATGTACTATCTTTCATGTGCATGTTAAAATCTACTGGTATTTTGGACATAAACATTACCCAAATTCGCTATTAGCCAAATCAGTCAGAAGTTGTGTAGACCTGCTTTCCTGATATCGTTCAATAGCAAGTCACTGACCTGATTATATGGCTATGATACCATGGTCACTAGTTGCAAATATCACATGGGTACAATAAATACCTAATTACGGCTTTTTTGGTACACTTCTGCGTTATACCAGGCTTGTTTGGACTCGCCTTGGGTATTTTGGTACAACAAGTACATCTTCCCAAAATATGAACCATGACTACCGCTCGGCCAAATATGCGTGATATGCTGTCAAAGTTTACTAAAGCATACAATTGGGTTGAAATAAGTAGTACGTATATGTATCATCAAGTGTCTTGAGCTCCCAGATTGAGAAATTTCTTTCAGATTATTGTTAGCGAAGGGCAGCTCAAACCAAGATTATTTCAGGGACCAGTAGCCTGAGTGTGTTACAGAATAGGTGGCAGCATCCCTTGCATTGAATGTAAAATTATCCAGGCCAGCATATATTACAGACTGCTGTCACTTCATGATATAGAAACTGAAGCTCAACACAGCTTAGTTTTAGTTTCTGGGCCCTGAAAAGACTTCATTGTGCAAACCTACAGTCAGCTATACTTAACATACATTACTACAGTGCATTTACTTTATACAATGTCTTCCTTGACTTCACAGAGTGTTGTAAAGCTCTGCTTTTATGAGAGAAAGCTTCAAGTTCAAGAATCTGAAAAATATGAGGAATGGAAAAACAACCGACCAGCTGACAGAATTCTTGAAATAGGTACTCTTTTAAATATGTAACTTTCTGTGGGTAAATTAATTTTGCAGTGTCCAATCTGTAAATTTGTGTTGTCCCAGGAATTACACATGGTAACCATTTTGGTTAAATCCCGCCCAATCCCTCTAAAAATTCATTTTGTATCATTCTTTTCTTTTCAGATTCTCAATTTGAGACGCCCCCTCCCTCCCCCTTACAATTTCCAAAACCAGAGTGTATTTTCTTGGTACACACACTCGTCTAAAGGCTCAAAGCCTTATGGCCTATTTCAAGTTCAGAAGTAATAGTTAACCACACAGAGCTTTGTATGACTAGAGTAGACTGTAAATTAAAGGTTTTCACATCAAGGGGTGATCTGCATATAGATATACTCAGACTTCAATTTGTCGGCTAATATTTTTTTTAATTTGTTGGTAGTACTGTGTTGTAAATTTACAAGCCCTGGGGGCCCTTTCTCGAAAGTCCTGGTAGTTACCGGTCCTGAAAAGCTGTCTATTTGTTTGCCATGTTTGCATTCAAGATATTAATAGTTTTGAAATTCAGCCAATAAAAATATTAGGAAATGAAACAAAATGGTCTGGTTTTTGAACGTGCACTAGTATTCCTTAGGTTTAATTAGATCTTAAATATGGCTTTGGGTCTGTAAAAATACTGGGACTTTTGACAAAGACGTGCCAGGTCTTTTTATATTTAATTATTCTGGATTTATTTCCTTTTAGATGTTCCCATGTCAAGTGGAGTGTCAAGCATCAGAAGTAAGGGAAACTTACTTAATTGTTATGAATTTGAGTGGGATCCAAGCAAGGGATCAGAGGTTTACATCATTGTAAGTGACAGAAGCTTAGACTGTATACTTTTACTATTGTTTATTTGTTTATTCATATCTATAACAAAATTTTTGATTGTGATTGGTTCTCTGTGCGCTTAGTTAACACATAATTGGTACGCCATCACATGCATGTCCAATTACAGGTATCCAATGTCAACTTTTTTTTGTAATTGGATACCGAGGTGATTCACACGTCGTACATATTACTGTGCTCTAATGGCTTCTCTCTCAATTTTTCCTACAGTTTTTAGAACTTATGGAAAGCACTACTAACCGTAAAGTTCTGCCTTTTTTACTCAAACAAAATTCTCAAAGNATAAATTTAAAATAAGATTAATGAATAATGTAAAGAAGTCTATCATTTAGCAAATTATAGTGAAGATTAAAAAAAAAATAAAAATATACTATTCACCATCATCGAATTTTGTAATCTGCCAGATTATCAACAGTATTTGTTTCACTTAAATGTATAAATTGTCAATGTTATGTGCCAAATGCACTATGCAGGATACTACTTTCAAGCCCTCTCCTGTTGCTGCCATGTTGATTGGTAGTATAATATAAGATGACAAGTGACATCATATTATGAGGAAGGAGGTCAGGGAGGGAGGGATGGGGAGGTGGGTTGACAACAAACATTTCCAGTGAAAGGTGCTCCATCCAACATGACTGTTTTAAGGTAGATTAATTATACTTAATTGTACCTTTCTAGTATGGTTTTCAGCCACTAAAGTGGCATATCTGGTGAGTTTGGCCAAGTCATTGTTCATATTTTGGCAAGACGTCAAACCAAAATACCGTGGATGGCAAAACAAAATTTGCCTAATATGATGCCGAAGTGTTCCAATAGTGTTATGATTAGGTATTTACTGTATCCAAATTCAGGCAAGTGACCATGATATCGTAGCCATATATCAGGTCAGTGATTTAATATTACAGGTCATAATCCATCAGTTACTTTTGTTTGTGCGTGATTGGTCTCAACATGCCACATGGCTGAATATGCCCCAGCTACAAATAGGGAATATCCGAGTGATATTCCCAATTTTCAAAACTTTGCATGTGCCATAAAATATTGGAAGGATGATAAACACAATAGCCTCCATTTGGCGCAAAAATATGCTTGGATATTCATCCTGCAATTGGACATTATCTGTTGCATAATTGAGCTATGCTCTCAGAAAACTCTTTTTTTCTCTGAACAGATCATGTCCAAAGACTTGTATAATCTCCAGACAAATTTTTGTGCCAAATGGAGGCTATTGTTTATATATCAGGAATATAGACAGAGCTTCTGATTGGTCAGTTGCAAATCTGGGTATGGTAACAACAAATAGAGGTTCACTAGTTAAATTAATACAAAGAACTTGAACTATACAATAGTTATGAGTGGTAAATAAAAGCCAATATTTATTGGTGGTTGACATTTTCTCTTTCTTGATCAAAGCAATGTGCTCAACTTGTCACTCTTCAAGGAGGAGCCACCAGGTGTTCACCAGAATATGGATACAATTGGTCCTGATCCATCGTCTGTTAGAGAGTAAGTACCTATAAAGGTAACGTTTGCATACGAGCCAAGTGGCCCATCAGGCCAGCTTACCCCAGTTTCTGTAACTTGAAGTGACTAGGAGTATTTCTTCTCCCCCCTGGATGGGTGCTAGTCCATCGCAGGATTACCCCCAGCATTAAGTTTACCGGTACCCATTTATACACCTGGGTGGAGAGAGGTACTGTGAGAGTAAAGTGTCTTGCCTAAGAATAGAACACAGTGTTCCCGGCCAGGGCTCGAACCTGGTCTGCTTGATCTGGAGACAAGTGCACTAACCATGAGGCCACCACGCCTCCCCAAGCAAGCACCAACAGGCCAATAAATGTATCTTATCCTATACACAAGGACTGTACTCAGAGCTCTGCCAAAACCTGTAGCACCTGTTGTGGCTGAGCATGTTTGATGTCCAGACGCTTGGTCGTATATGAGGACTGCCTCGTCATTGACGCAATTCCCACAGAGTAACAAGTTTATTATGGTTGTGAACGTTAAGGCTACATGTGAATCAAAACTTAATGACAGCCCTGGTACTGTAGAGTACTGGGAACAAAAGAATCACATATTAAAGAAAATTATTAATAATGAAAGTTTGTTTAAATGCAGTTAAATCCAACTTAACAGAGTTAACAACAAGGAACGTAAGTCTTGCCTTCAGCGACATTTAGATCTGCGCATGTGCCAGGATTCCACATGTTCTTAGACCCCAAGGGTGACTGCTTTTCTCCCTTCTGGGTGGGGTTCATGGCTTGTTTGCCAGGATGTGCCAGCCATGGGAGCAGTCTCCGTCTAGGAGCTGGCTGCCAATAGTGCAAGCTCCTGGATGTCTCAGGCATCGAACCTCCACTTTGTGAGGCAGTTGTTAAAAGTCTTTATCAGTTGTTGCCTTCTATTTCAGCCCTCTTATTAATCACATGCTTCTCAGAACCAGACCAGACTACATGACTGGGAATGAATTTTTGTTGGTTGCTTTTAATATGGGTAAACTAATAGAGGAAAGCCAATTGGTAATGCCACCTGTGGCCACTGAATAGATACGGCCACTTAAACGGGAGTTTATTTGCAGTATTACACTGTGTACTACACAGTGTTGCAGTATTACACAATATTGCACCGCTGTCTGATATGACTCTACATCTAGCTATTGCCAGGAATGCTTGAGCAGTTTTAACTGGAAGGTATTGTCATTCAAAATGATCCTGACCCTTTGCTTGGAAGGGGAATTTCACATGCATTATTTTTTAATTACAGCTATTAATGTGTGCAGTGATCTTATATATTTTGTTGCTTCATCTTAGAGTATCTACGGAGGTGACTTCTTTGGATTCTTCTTTGCAAACAAAACAGGAGACGTTAATGGCTTGTGGGATGTTGCCATCTCAACCATCACAAATGTCATCTTCCGGGAGTGTAGATGGGACGAGGTAGGCGGTGTTAAATTACAACAACTGCAGTCAAACTTGTGTCGAGTACAGTTTCACATCAGCAATAACAAAGAAAAAGCCATGATCATGAATCAGCTGTGTACATAATTATACATATAGTATACCATATATCTTGCAGCTAGACTTCAAGTTGACCTTCCATAATCATCGCTCTCAAGCGAAGCAAAAGGCAGATCTTTGAGCAATGAAGTTGCAAGATTATTTGGAAAGGACTTTTAGAAAGTCTACACCAAAAGTAATGGAATATCATAATAATTAATATTTAATCAATATTAATTATTAATTAAATTAACTGGTAGAAAAGTTGGTGTCTAGAGCAACAAAAATACCTTGCCTACAATTTAGTTTTTGCCATCTTTTGCAGCTTGAGTTATGGATTTATTCATATTTTGAAAGCTCCGACCTCCCCAACAAAGAAGCTTGAAGAAGACTCACTGACATATCTCAACCAAGGTATTGTTGTGGCCTCTTTGAAGGCAGGCACCCAATAGACTGAGCTAACTGAGCTGCACAATGTGCACTTTTAGCTACTAAAAACAGAGCTAATAATAATAATTAAGCTTTGATCAGTTGAAGGCCAACAACTCTGAATGGCATTTACCTTACAATTAACTAATGTCATCTTCAGGGCAGCCTTATTTGCTGGAGATGCTGTATCTTCCAGTGGAAGGAGCAAAGTTCGAGGGTCAATATATGAAGGTAAAGATATCACAATGATTATTGGCCAGACATTAATTTTCGAATGAATGAGAAATATCAGATTACATGTACTATCTTTCATGTGCATGTTAAAATCTACTGGTATTTTGGACATAAACATTACCCAAATTCGCTATTAGCCAAATCAGTCAGAAGTTGTGTAGACCTGCTTTCCTGATATCGTTCAATAGCAAGTCACTGACCTGATTATATGGCTATGATACCATGGTCACTAGTTGCAAATATCACATGGGTACAATAAATACCTAATTACGGCTTTTTTGGTACACTTCTGCGTTATACCAGGCTTGTTTGGACTCGCCTTGGGTATTTTGGTACAACAAGTACATCTTCCCAAAATATGAACCATGACTACCGCTCGGCCAAATATGCGTGATATGCTGTCAAAGTTTACTAAAGCATACAATTGGGTTGAAATAAGTAGTACGTATATGTATCATCAAGTGTCTTGAGCTCCCAGATTGAGAAATTTCTTTCAGATTATTGTTAGCGAAGGGCAGCTCAAACCAAGATTATTTCAGGGACCAGTAGCCTGAGTGTGTTACAGAATAGGTGGCAGCATCCCTTGCATTGAATGTAAAATTATCCAGGCCAGCATATATTACAGACTGCTGTCACTTCATGATATAGAAACTGAAGCTCAACACAGCTTAGTTTTAGTTTCTGGGCCCTGAAAAGACTTCATTGTGCAAACCTACAGTCAGCTATACTTAACATACATTACTACAGTGCATTTACTTTATACAATGTCTTCCTTGACTTCACAGAGTGTTGTAAAGCTCTGCTTTTATGAGAGAAAGCTTCAAGTTCAAGAATCTGAAAAATATGAGGAATGGAAAAACAACCGACCAGCTGACAGAATTCTTGAAATAGGTACTCTTTTAAATATGTAACTTTCTGTGGGTAAATTAATTTTGCAGTGTCCAATCTGTAAATTTGTGTTGTCCCAGGAATTACACATGGTAACCATTTTGGTTAAATCCCGCCCAATCCCTCTAAAAATTCATTTTGTATCATTCTTTTCTTTTCAGATTCTCAATTTGAGACGCCCCCTCCCTCCCCCTTACAATTTCCAAAACCAGAGTGTATTTTCTTGGTACACACACTCGTCTAAAGGCTCAAAGCCTTATGGCCTATTTCAAGTTCAGAAGTAATAGTTAACCACACAGAGCTTTGTATGACTAGAGTAGACTGTAAATTAAAGGTTTTCACATCAAGGGGTGATCTGCATATAGATATACTCAGACTTCAATTTGTCGGCTAATATTTTTTTTAATTTGTTGGTAGTACTGTGTTGTAAATTTACAAGCCCTGGGGGCCCTTTCTCGAAAGTCCTGGTAGTTACCGGTCCTGAAAAGCTGTCTATTTGTTTGCCATGTTTGCATTCAAGATATTAATAGTTTTGAAATTCAGCCAATAAAAATATTAGGAAATGAAACAAAATGGTCTGGTTTTTGAACGTGCACTAGTATTCCTTAGGTTTAATTAGATCTTAAATATGGCTTTGGGTCTGTAAAAATACTGGGACTTTTGACAAAGACGTGCCAGGTCTTTTTATATTTAATTATTCTGGATTTATTTCCTTTTAGATGTTCCCATGTCAAGTGGAGTGTCAAGCATCAGAAGTAAGGGAAACTTACTTAATTGTTATGAATTTGAGTGGGATCCAAGCAAGGGATCAGAGGTTTACATCATTGTAAGTGACAGAAGCTTAGACTGTATACTTTTACTATTGTTTATTTGTTTATTCATATCTATAACAAAATTTTTGATTGTGATTGGTTCTCTGTGCGCTTAGTTAACACATAATTGGTACGCCATCACATGCATGTCCAATTACAGGTATCCAATGTCAACTTTTTTTTGTAATTGGATACCGAGGTGATTCACACGTCGTACATATTACTGTGCTCTAATGGCTTCTCTCTCAATTTTTCCTACAGTTTTTAGAACTTATGGAAAGCACTACTAACCGTAAAGTTCTGCCTTTTTTACTCAAACAAAATTCTCAAAGACTTTGCCAATTTTGAAATTTTTTAGAGACACGATTATTATTGTTAGTAATTGGACCTTGTGTCGCACAATTAAGGGAGTAGTTGTGCTCGAAATTTCAAGTCGGCCTCGCACTTCGCACTCATCCAATTCTTGCATGATTACTTCCTGAATTATCCTCCACTCAGTCCAATCACTATTCCTAATTGTTAGCACCTGCATTGATATTAGTTTTAAACTTTGTATACACTGAATGAGAGACCCTGGTTAAGAAAACCTTATGTATCTGTATAGATCTACTTTGGGCACCTAATGTTAATGGTATATTCTTAATTTTACTCACTTTCTCTACAGATCAACTGTGTCAGTTCAGAATTTACTAAAGGAAAGAGTGGTGAGAAAACTTAAAATAATTATATTCTGTAACAAATGTATCATGGACACAATAATCACTTATGTTTAAGTTCTTATTAAGTAATCATTCCTCATTTGGTCACTCCTTAGTATGAACTGTTTTTTTTGTTGTTGTTGTTGTTTTTGAATTTGTTGACATTTGCCTCTGTCAGAAGTTGGTATGAGTCTTCATTAATTATTATTATTATATGGCTTGTGTATGTAGCCAATATAATGTATGCTCTGATTGGCTAATGCTAGGGCATTATTCTCCCGTGGTGCCCACGGGTCGATTATGGACCTCCAAAACCAAAGTAGAAAGCCTTATAATAAACAGCTTATTAACCTTGAACGTTTGGTCTTTTTGGGAAAATCTCAAACCTCGGCTTTGCCGTATTGACCTCACTATCTATCAATACGGCAAGGTCTTGGTTCAAGATTTCCCGTAAAGACCTCAATCTCGGTTAATAAGTAGTAAGTAATACTTTGAATTGCAGGGGGTGAGAGTGGGGTTCCATTCAGGCTGCAAGTGGATTCTTTCTCCCCCAATTCGTCAACAGATGCTCTTCCAATCCACAGTGCAGGCTGTCAAGTCAAGGTGTTTAAAGTGAGTAGCTGATTCATGGCATTGTGGTCATACACTTTAGGACAACAGGGGCAATGATGCTGACACCAATGACAATGGCAACCATCATGATAATGGCAATGACAGCTAGAGCATCAATCATTTTTAATTTGTAGATTTTCTTTCCTGTTGCTGAAGCTTTCCGTGTATTGTGGTCATGTGCTGATGACAATGATGTTGACATCTACACTGGCAAGACAATATCACTAATGCCAATGACGACCTACAGCAACACCCACAACAATGACAATGACATGAGCCATTCCTATCACTGCTCTGTCTTGATTTGTTCTACGTCTTCAAGCTGTGTTTCCTCATAATGACAGCATTTTTTTTTGTCTTCTTTTCAGTCGAAAGGTGCAGACAGGAAGCTTAAGGTTGAGATGCAGAAACTTGAGCACAAAACAAAAGAAGAGTTGGTGAGATAACAATTATATTTTAATGTCCTTAATTAGTAACTTTTACTTTTGCAGGTTTAGGATTCAGGAAAGTTGACCAGTAACAAAACACAGCAACAACAAAAACAGAGAAAATGATAGTTATTGCAAGAGTAGTCAGATATTAGTATTACTGAGAGCTCACTGAACTTTCATAAGGATGTAAAACCCAACTAAATCTCCCCAAGATACTCCCTCCTCAACTCCATTTAATTTGTACTTGCCCCCCCCCCATTACCATCACCACCACCAGCTAAAGATAGTGATAGCTAATGGTAGATTGTCTTTAGTCAGCAATTACCTTTCAGTAATAAGGGACTAACATAAATGAGTTCCTTGATTCCTTGTAGGACCAGTTGAGACCCACTCTGGCATACACAGAACTCACTGAAGTAAGCTGAGCTTTAAAACATTGTTGACATAGGGTACTGATGTTTTGAGAGTTAATGAAACATGACAAGCAGTTTGTAGTGTATATTGGGAACATTTGGAATTAGATATAACTATATTTAAGACTGGTTACAAGGAGTTATAACATTTGAGAACAATGTGTTTTCAGTTGTGTGCTGTCATCTTCTCAGGGTGCAAATAAAAAACAATTTTGGAGCTTGCTGTTCGGCAATTCTTATTATGATGCACTAGGTCAAAAGTCATTGTCACTAGTCCTCCCCCCTTAAAAAATTCTTATTACCATGATCTAATAATTAACATTTAACAATAATTTAAATCTCTTACCAGCCATACTTCTGTAATAAATTTCCTTCGACCAAAACCTTCACTTGCTTGTGAGGCAAGGAAAGGATTTGATTCCACTAGCCCTACTTGCAGCTTCTACTAGATCTGGACTATTGGACTTGACTTCATTTTCACGCTGCTTCAGAGATCTGTTTCATACAAGGGGAATGGTGTAACTCAGGAATGACTAAGCAGGCTCATTAGCAGGCTCAGCTGTCTTTTCTGGCCTCTATACTTGTAAAAGTACCCCTAGTCTTTTATTTTTGGGGTGAGATTTCAGCTGGCGATAATCTCTTCAACTGGTGTATTCAGCTGCATCCCTGCACTCAGAATATCACTGTTTCCAGTTCTTCCTTGTTGTAACTTCCTTCCCTCTTTTTGAGCGGAAACCTAGGGACAATTTTCTCTGCAACTTTTCCTTTCAGCTGCCACTGAATTTAGAGGATGACAGCAGTTCTTGTTGGATGTCTCCAGGGTAATTTGCTCTTAGTAAATTGATATCAAGTTACTGTATAACTTTGCAAACAAACTGGTTGCTTTTGTTGTAGTTAAGTTAGTGCTGTGTTATGGTAAGTAACTTAGTGTGTAATCTATCAAACATGAAAGACCATGTTTGACCACATTTCCAAATACTGAGCAAGAGAGTTCAAAATGTAACATGCAGTGGAGGTTACCGGTTTCAAAGTTGATTGATGGCATTACAATCTCATCAGCTCATGATAGCCATGAAGCAAAAATTTATCAGGATTTATATTTCATGCAAAGCAGCACATTAAAATTCACTCACAACAAAGAACAGGATCTCATACTTGCTTTTCATGGTCAGGGAGAATACTTCATTCACACTACTCTGCCCAATATGTGAATATATTTTCTTCCAACGAGACATCAGCTTTATGTGGTAATTCCATCCCAAAATTATGTTAAGTTTATATAAAGTTGAAATACAGGTGGTGACATTTCATGGCTTGCATCATATCTGACATGCATTACAATGTTCAGGTCAGTTGCTGGCTCAATGTCTTCACCTTCTTCAACTTGCCAAGTCATGTCTGGATCCTTGTCATCACCTGTGTCAGCTTGTCAAGTGATGTCGACTCCTCCGTCAACAGTTCAGGTGATGTCGCCATCCAGTAGTGTATTATCCAGCCCATCTTCAACTGGCATAACGCACTGCACTGTAAGTGAAAGCTAGTCTAGACTGAGTTGTTTTAAATTTTGAGTATTATCATTCAACGAGAGTAGTCTTGGGAAGACTTGTTAGTGATTGATGTTGTGATTAGACACCAATAAAGAAACTTGACAAAATGTCAAGATTGCTCTCATGCTTTTGTAGATAATTGTATAAACCCCATTCTGTTGAATACCATAATTTCTGGTAATCATTCTTTCAGGGATTAACTTCAGAATCCTCTGTTGATGAAACAAGACTCTGGTTGCAGAATAACAGATTTCAAAACTATCTCAACATGTTTGCCAATTACACAGGTTGGTAAACAGTTCCATTCTGTGTATTGGGACATAATTTACTTGCCTGCTTCTCCTATTTCAATGCATTGCCAAATTAAATCCAGCTCTGACCACTAAGCTGGAGTGTTTTCTCAGTAGACCCTAGTTCAACTCCTCGGTCATACTTGTAAATAGCCAACTGGTCTTCCTCCTGCCAGTTGTGAGTTTGATCCTATAATTATGTGAAGTTGATATATTTGTTTCTTCCAGTTTAAGTGGCATGCCTGTGAACTAGCTAGGTGTAGTTAAGTGCATTGACCACCATCAAAAAACAAACAAACAAACAAACAAACAAAAAACACATTTGAACAACATTTTAACAAAATGATATGTCAATTTTAAATCATCACATGAACAACTTAGTGAACTTTGTGTAACTATGTGTTAATTAGGAGCGGATCTTCTAAGATTGACTAAGCAAGACATGATTCAGATCATGGGTCCAGCAGATGGTATACGCTTACATAACTCATTACAAGCCAGGTAATGGACATGTGCTATCTTTCCTTATCTTAAAAACCTTTTTTTAGTTAGTAACCTAACTTTCTTGTAATTGTAATTTTGTACAGTCATGTAATTCCAGAAAATACCCATACCTCCCCCATGGAAGGAATTTTATCTAAGTCGATGTTAGCCTGAACATTACAAAATTTTATTGAAAGCAAGTTTTTAATAATATTTTCGTAGTAAGTTCAGTTATTATCAGCCAGGAAACAGGTGGGGCAAGATGGACGGGATTGAATCCTCAGTTGTAATTAAAATCTCTTTAATCATGTAAGCTTTAAATTGTTTGAAAGTAACAGTACAATACTGTGTCATGTCTTTATTTTCCTTAAGCTTACCATCTCGGTTTTTGTTCATTAATTTTTAAGGGCTGCTCGTCCACTTTTAACAATGTACGTTTGCCTGGAGTCTGCGCAGCAGAACTCTGGTATGAAAGAATACTATGCCATGTTCCTTGAAGCCTTAAATCTTGGTGAACTTAGAAAAAAACTTGCTCTGAAATGTAGCCTCCGTGTCGAGCAGATTGTAGCAATATATAGGTGAGTCTAACTGGTTTTCATGCATGATATGGTAGCCAAATTGTGGTTTGCATGCCAAAAGACTGTGCAGTTATCTGCATTTAGAAGTCACTTGTCCCATGTGGGTCATTGTGTTCTTAGAGCAGTAACGTGTGCTCTTTCACCCATGAAAAAATGGGTTAAGGGATATGATTTGGTGGGTTTGGATGAGAATTATAAATATTGTAAATTAAATTACTGTTTTTTAGTAAGCTCAATTGATTTTATGGAATTATTTTATAGAGATAATATTATAATTCTCTCCTTTCTGTCATACACAGAAAAAGGCAAAATTAACCTCATTGTATTCTTTATTTCATATCTTGCTCACTATTTAAAGCAGTGCAGTTTACTAAATTTCATTCAAAAGGGCATAAATAAATACTTTGCAGAAAAAAAAGGTTGCCTTCATGGAACAAAAATTAATATTTATTACTTATAAAACATTTTCAATTGATTCATTAGAATTTAGCTAAAAAAGTTGAAACATTGAAGAGAAACAAAAAATACTGTAAAAGCACTCTGTTGTTTGAATTCGATGTAGCAAAAAAAGCATCTTCCTTGCCACATTATGAGGAAATGTATCCTAAAAGCAGCTACAGATCAAACATGATGAGAAAGTCTAGAATTAATAAATGAGGATGTGTACATGTGCAGCTCTTTAAATAATCATGATGTGATAGACAAAAATAATGAGGGTTGGGGATGATCTCAGTGGACAATTTGCATTAATTATTTTATTTAGTTTTATATTGTATTTATTTATTTAATATTTAATATTTAATATTTAATATTTATTTACCTTAAGTTTTCTTAAGATAATTAAGAGCTTTTAGAATAATTACATGTATATATTAAATGATCTAGATATTATTAGTACATGTCATGTCTTTGTATGATTGAATTTATTTAATATGTTTAATTTTATATACATTTGTTCTCTTTTAGACAAGGGCCAACAGGAATATATGTACTAGTTGATGACGAGGTGAGAAGGCACATGTAGCAATTAATCTTTGTTTTTAAATACTCCCCTGAAGCGGATACAGGATTTTAGTGAAGGGGGCTCATGTTACAGTCCGCCAAAAGCGATTCCCTGAAGTGACGTCCGGGTGCATCCCGCCCCGTAAAATTTTTAAAATTGAGGTCCTTGTAAATGGCATTTCTGACATTCTAAGGCTAAGTCAGTGTGTTATAATGTCTCAATTTTTTTTCAATTAAGGAGTTCAACCAAACCCCACTGAATCTCCCTAGGTCTGCCCCAGCTCCCATACCGGTATTTAAAGAAAAATAGATGCACAATGGAACCCCTGTTAATTCGGTCACCACCAGGCTACAAAATTAAATCTGTGTGTTTTAATGGGTGGCTGTATTAAAGGGGTTCTTTTAATAAGAAAATGACTGACTGAGCTGCTGTTTAGGCTAGAATAAAGTGTCCATGATAACGAGGTGGCCGTATTAATGGGGTGGTCCTAAGATGGGGTTCCACTGTAGCTGACTGTTTGACTTGACAGAACTATTCACCCAGTCAGCTTCTTTCTATCAGACATTAAGATAATATTGATCAATTAGGTTATAAGGATTACAGCACTTGCAACAATATTTAATAACTGAACAATAACAAACTAAAGATATATTGAAGGTTCCGGGCTAATTCAGTGGTAGGGTTGAAAATTGTGTAACATTTCCCAGTACTTTTTAAAATTTCCCATCTGTAACTGGTTAGAAATTTATAGTTAACTTTATATGCTCACTTTGAAATTGTTTTAGATGGTGAGAAATTTTGTAGACGAAGGTCATTTTATTGTACAGCTTCTCAGGGGTAAGTGCAGTCCTTTACTCAGATCGTATACTAAATCAGTCTTTTCAAAAGGTGCCAGTAGATGGCAAGTCAAGAACTGTAACAACAAGGGCTCTGACATTCATAATGCATAGTTCCAGAAAATATCTGTACCTCCTCCATTTGGGGCATTTTTACCAAGACCCCCACCCCCCTGGAAATTCCAATTAAGCTTGATACATTTCTTTATTAAATGTTTCAGTCTTAGAGAACCCCTGCTATGTCTCAGGAAATTCCAATCCTTTCTTAGAGGGAAGTATGGAAATTTTCTGGAACTGAACAATGTCCACTGATATGTTCAGACGAGAAAGCCAAAGACCTTGCAAAGCAGGGGCATGCTCCACCCCTGCACAAATTTCATTCTGACAAATGAAGTATTGTAAGTAATGTAAAAGTAATGCTTTAATGAAGTATATTACAATAAATAATGGAGAATTTGATCTTATCTAGATAAACCTCGCAAGGTGCAAGATATCAAATAATGGGATCCCAAAGTCGTACCACCCCTGCAGGCAATACCATCGGAACCCCATGTATAAGAAATAGATTCCAGAGAAGTTATCCTGATATATTTTTTGAAAGCATCAGATTTCCATCTACCCAGTTGCCTAAGTTTTAGGTTTGGCTGCATAAGTAGCAGCACCAATCCTGAAGCTGTGTCCTTCGTACCTCTTAGGGTCCAAGTTGCATCATTAGCTGAATATCTGAGCAAAGCATCTTACAAAATTGCTTTGCAAATCTGGCAACCACTCTTGATTAATAAAGGGTGGGCCTGGTACTGTACCACGGATCAAAACGTGAACTAATGCCCCATTATCAGTAAAAAATGTTTTTTAAGAACTGTCTCTAGGAAAAATTTAAATTTTAGTCAGCATATCTTTCAGGCTGAGTTCGAGATGAGCTCTGTGGTTTCAATGTATATGCCATGAAGACAAAAAGTTTAAGATTCCACAAGTATCTATTGGTGAATCATGTCAGAAATTAACTAACTACAATTTTATGCTCTTGTAATGTTAACCCACATCCCTTTTAGGATAACCTTCAAGGTGTAGAAGAAAATATTTCGCCATGTTTTGCCCTGAAGTATATTAAGCAGACATTGAAAACTTGGTATTTGTGTATCATAAGCTTAAGTGTAACAAACTGAGTTTGTATTTCCTTTTTTTTTTCAGAAGAAGACAACACTTATCAACTCATTTTAAAGTAAAAGGTGGCTTAACCGTATTCTTGTATGAAGGAAGGTGACGCATACTAGCAATGCAAATGCGCAATGCAGAAGACAGTGGCTGTCATGGTTTCAGCTCTAGATGGCTGGTGCATTTTGTTCCACCCAAATCTTATATAATTAAATTAAGATATTCCTTCCAAGATGGATACTTTCAATATCTTCACATCTATCGGCACCTATATTATAGCTGAAGGATTGTTGAACATCTGTTGCTGCGAAGTACTTGATGGCATGCAGCAGAATTATTAGGGGAGAACATTAAAGCTGTGTATTGCTCGTCAGTTTTGGCTATACTGAGGTGAACATTGTGAGATAGCCAGAAACTTATGTACACAACAAAATGAGATCAAGAGGTTTCCCTGGCAAAATTTAAACTGTGACAATATGGAGCAGAAAGAGCAGAAAGGATTATGACTGTGTTAAATTATTCAGAAGAACTTCCATTATTCAGTGAGCTCAAAGCTTGCCAAGTTGTGTTGTTCTGTCATGACAGAGATTCAAGGGCCTTAAAGGCAGTGTAAAATTTATCAATCCATATTCTTGAAAATGACAATGATTTTAAACAGAATCATTTAGCTCTAGGAATTCTCACTTTTTAATTGGAAAATGGTGCAAAGGTATTTATAATGTAGCCAAGGTGATGTTAGTAGTGGCCAAGTCAACGCAGTTAATGAAACAGTCATACTGATACTTACTGGATTGGATAAACATACGTATAGTCAAGACTTGTAATTAATGGACGAAATTCAGAGAAAAAATTCATTTCAAGTCCTACCTCTTGTGAAATTCGAGGAAAATTCATTATTAATATATGGCTTACCAATTCTGCACTTACATTCATTAATATATGGCTCTCCAATTCTGGCTTCCATTCACTTGGAAAACCAGTGTTACAATTTAAGGTCACATTGCTTGTCAATTCATCTAGTGTTGTACCCAGAAATTTGGGGTGGAGGTCCTTGTTACTGAATACCCTGGGAGCAGAGTCTCCTAATTCAATCCTCCTATTCCAGATTTTTCTTGGAAGATCAAAGGAGACTCTGCTCACAGGGTACATTACACAACAGATTTTACAGCAGAAGGAAAAATGACTTCATAATAATTATTATGCTCCTTGTGTACATGTGTTATATGTAGGTAGGAAGATCAGAGTTTTTAGGAAATTAAGTTCAAGCAAACGATACAATGTAAAAGACTGTTTTCATTATAATTGTTATTTAAATTGATCTTCATAGTAAGGCCTAGAGGACACTAACAAAGGAAACTGAATGTTCAAGTACATTCATTTCTGCTGCTTGTGTCTGTCGGCCTCACTATCAAGTTGAATTTTAATGTTTTTATATCAGTTTAAGTAGTCTATTGATTTAATACAATCTGGGATCATTTTTGCTCATGGATGACGTAAGTCATTCCATGAGCTTAGAAGGCAGTCGAATTAGTCGAATGGCACTCACTCACTCACTCGATTCTGATTAATTTATTCATTAAAGTTGGATTAAACCTTTTTTCTTTTACCTCCCCTTGTAAGTATGGTTTTTGTCCCAAGCAATTTTTGGCAAATGTTTGGCTTGTTTTATGGGGGTACTAGAGAGGCGTAAATTTTTGTCCAACAAGATGGCGTAACGCGGCACAGAGGTCNACGAGTTTCGCCATGCACTTTACTTGTATGTAAGAAAAGGGTTAAGGTTTTTGAGATACTAAGTCACTTCCAGACTTCAAGTTAAACCTGGACTCTTTGAAACATAAAAGTCCTTGTGATATCCACCTGGCTTTTTGCTCATGGATGACGTAGGTCATTCCATGAGCTTAGAAGGCAGTCGAATTAGTCGAATGGCACTCACTCACTTACTGGATTCTGATTAATTTATTCATTAAAGTTGGATTAAACGTTTTTTCTTTTACCTCCCCCTGTAAGTATTGTTTTTGTCCCAAACACTTCTTGGGAAATGTTTGGCTTCTTTTATGGGGGTACTAGAGAGGCGTAAATTTCTGTCCAACAAGATGGCGTAACGCGGCACAGAGGTCGAAGATGATTTTTCGTTCGATCTGTAAACAGGGATTCCTCCGTGGGTTGAAAAAAGGGGAGTTATTACGCTAAGGAACACTACCTGCGAGATATATACATCGAAATCCTAAAAGCGACGATACTTGCATCGAAATCTTGAAAGCTACGATGTCTATCGACCGTGGTCCGCGGACGAATTGACGGAATCGTTTAAGCTTAAAAATATTTTGCCACCCGGAGGAGGAATGAAAT